TAAATGAATGATTCTACAGAAAACATATGTGCCTACATTATTCCAATGACTCACACTTGTACCCAAGGAACATGAGGACATCACTGTTTCCATCTTGTAAGCAAAGCACTCATCAATGCACTACAACAATTCCCTCCTCAAAATTTGCCTCCTCAAATTCCTTCCTCATGCAATACTTTTGCAGTGGTTACTCCCTAATTCTTTCACCTTATTCTAAATAAGCCTGCATTCCCTACTATTATCACAGAATCATAGAATACCAGGTTGGAAGGGAACTCACAGATCATCTGGTCCAACTTCTCTTGGCCAAAGCTTCATCTAGACAAAAGCACTGTCTAGACAAGATGGCCCAGCACCCCGTCCAGCCAGATACTAAAACTATCCAGTGTTGGGGGATTCAGTGCTTCCCTGAGGAGATTATTCCAATGGCTGATTGTTCTCATTATGAAAAATTTTCCTCTAGAGTCCAGTCAGAATCTCCCCAGGAGTAACTTGCACACATTAGCTTTCATTGTTTCCATGTGAATCCTTGTAAAAAGGGAGTCTCCATCTTTGTAGCCACCCTTTAAGTAGTGGAACATGGTGATGAGGTCTCCCTTAAGCCTTCTTTTCTCAAGGCTCAACAAACCCAATTCTTTCAGCCTTTCCTCATATGGCAGGCTTCCCCGTCCTTTGATCATCCTGGTGGCCCTTCTCTGGACCCTCTCCAGTCTGTCCACATCTCTTTTGTATAGTGGGGATCAAAACTGAACACAGTATTCCAGGTGTGGCCTGACAAGTGCTGAGCAGAGTGGGATAATGACTTCTTTATCTCTGCTGGTGATGCCCTTGTTGATGCAACCCAGCATCCTGTTGGCTTGCTTTGCCACTGCAGCACACTGTTCACTCATATTGAGCTTGTTGTCCACCAGGACTCCTAGGTCCCTTTCCACAGAGCTGCTCTCCAGCCAGGTGGATCCCAGTCTGGGCTGCACTCCTGGGTTATGTTATATTGACTTACTAGCTTTGGAGAAGGAGTATTCCCTACATGGACAATTTTTACCAAGGGTTCCCATTCTGCCTTAACATAAGACACAGTCTTCAGTTTAAACTAAAAACAAAAAGTAAAAAGTAAAAAAGAAAGGGTTATAGTTGAGAAGATAAAAAAATATACCCTTTAAAACAGATTTTGTTTTCTTTGTAACTTCTAACTAGCTTATATGCACCTATGCAGATATTTGTCTATGTATTTAGTCCTCCCCAGAACTCCAACATGTATTCTGGATGCTAGAGCAATAGCATAGGAGTTCGCAGCAACATGTCATTACATGTCTTCAGTGCAATCAGCATCTTGAAAGACATAATTCGTACTATCTTAACTATGTTCCTTGGGAGGTATGTCTGGGAATTAAATGCAGTCACTTCTGATGACCACGTCTGGGACTGTGTACTGAGAGACTTCAAGGACATCTCTCCTCCCCAGGTCATGTCTAATTGATCATTGCATGTAAGGTCTACATAAATACACAAGATTATTTCTAGAACTGTGTATTGGATACTCTTCATCTACTTCCCCTCTCAATTTTCTTCTGTCAAACAGACATTGTTGGGATTAATTCCACTAAATTATTTAAAAATACATTATTCATTATTCGTTTTGTGTAAAATTCAGGAATTAAAAAAACCAATCCAACTTCAAAGTTATAAGAGCAGACTTTAAAAAGCTCAGACTGTCCTACAGAATGGAAATATTCAGTTATATCCAACCTCTCCTATATAGCAAGTAACATAAAGTGATTGAGAGAAACTGCAGCCATTGAATTTTAACTGTCGATTCCCCAGCAGTGAAAAAGTTCATGGGTCTGTCATGAGCCACAGGTTACTCTAACATTCCCCAGGGAAAAAAAAACCCACAACATTTTGGGTCCTGTTCTGAGCACAGCTTGGCCAAACATAAAAATCTGATCTAAATAGATCTCACGTTACCCTGACATGACTTTTCAAAACTATTTCTAAGTTTTTTGGTTTTTGTCTTCATGAAAGATTGGCCTACAAATTCCATATTTGTTTCACTAGAAACAAAATACTTTTCAGTGTCTTTGGAAAGGGGCTTTTTTGAGGAATGCAAAGACACAGCTGTTTCATTTGCACGCAGTTAAAACAGAAATAGCCATGCTATTAAAATGTGTATGGTGCTACATGAGCAGCTACTTGCCTCAGCCAAAGGTGGCGTGTGAATGGAATAAGGGTGGGAGTCTCACACACAACAGCTTTCTCAGTCTTTAATGGACAGTTCCTCAGAGGAGCTGGGACCATACAAACAAAAAGCAGAAATTGTCAGGACCTGAGGCATGCTGAGGTCTTGAAGAAGAGAAGACATGAAGTTGGAAGTGAAGTGAATGGGGAAGAACAAGAGCGCACAGTGGACATGGAATGCAAGATGAGGTTAGACAACAGATGGGAAGCAGGCGTACAGCATGGCTTTTATCTGTCCCAGAAACCACTAAGAATACAATGTTTCTGGCTATAAAATAATATATATGTATATTTTATATATG